TCAAAACATTTTCTTTCTACTTGAGCCCTTGGTATCAGCTCCTCACTTTTTCCCTCCTTCCCCCACCCTCCCTCCTTTATGAGCCCTTGATAATTTATAAATTATTGTTTTCATATCTTACACTGAACGTTGTCTCCCTTCACCCATGTCCTTACTCTTTTTGAACGTTCATCGGCACAACAATGTATTCTAAGCACATGTAATAAATAATGTTCATTCCATCTAGAGGTATAAAAAATCAGATGGAACTATGCTTGTCATACGTATTTATCCATTTTCTAAAAGTTGTTATACTTTTGATAAACAGCTAGTTTTCCCTTTTGTTTGTTACTTCCATAAACAAACATGCAACGTGGAGGTAAAAGTGCCAGACAACCAGAGGGTGACGCGCGGTGTCGTTTGTTTCATCTTTGTGTTATGCTCCAAATTCCCAGGAGCTGTTGTGAGCAAATGACACAATTCTTGAAAGTGTTCAAAGAGCTAAAATATCGTCAGGCAATTGCTGTTAAGTTCGGCAGAAGAAAGAGGTTTTTCAAAGATGAACATAATATGTTCAGAGAAGGGAAGTTGCCTGTTTCTAATATACCAAACACAATGACTACTATCTAATGGGTCGACCTCTACAGGAATGGAATCCTACTCTTACAGTGAAAAGATGGTTAAGAGAGAGCACACAGCTGATGATGCCCAGGTAGAAGTGAAGAATATTGCAAGTGAGGGCACCAATCAAGAATCAATATGGAGGTATCTTAAATAACAGATTTATTGTTTTTTGTCAGGTATTATTTAATAAATTTCATTAATATTTTAAAACTGTCCTATAACATAATTTAGTTTTATGTACTTCTTTTTTGTTCTTATTTAAGTCTTTACTCCATGAAGTAATAAATCAATAGTGACCCCAGAGCAGAACTGCCTCTGTGGGTGTCCAAAACTATAACTCTTCATGGGAGTAAAAAGGCTCATCTTTCTCTGGAGGAGCGCATAGTAGTTTCGAATTGCTGACCTTGCGGTTAACAGCCCAATGTGCAGGCCATTCCGCCACCAAGGCACCTCAGTAGGAAGACAATGTTAATGACTTCACCTGGAATCCCATTTTCAGTAAGTAAGGGAACAGCAAGATGCTTCCTGATTCTCCACACAAGGCCAAGGTGAGCTCCTGAAGGGCAGAGGGTACCTGATCCATCAGAGGGCCTGCTGGGCTCCAGGCACGGCAAGCAGCCTTAGGAAAGGTAGGGAAACTGAATGGCCAACTGGGAGAGGGATAAACTGACAATGGTTTTAGCTCCTGAATCAAAAGGACAAGGACTTTGGAGCTGACTCCAGTCAGTAACAGCCAAAGTGAGGCTCCACTGCCATTGAGTCGATGCTGACTCACCGGTGCCCTCTAAGACAGAGTAGAACTGCCCCCTGTGGATTTCTGGGAGTGTTTACAGGAGCAAATGGGCCCATCTTTCTCCCAAGGAGTGGTTTCAAACTGCTGACCTGGTGGACCAGAGCCCAATGTGTAACCATTATGCCACCAGGGCTCCTCTACAGTTGGGCTAGAGGACAGCACCTTTCTGTCACCTACTTCCTGAAAAATAGATCCACTTGATCTCAGGCCTCCGCAGGCTTAGCCAACAAATAAGCAGGGAATTCAAGACAGGAGGCAACTGGAACCTCTGCTGGAAGCCACCCAGGACCCGCAACTCCCAAGACCATCTCCCTCTTAAAGGAAACCCACGTTCACTAAAGGCCACACCTCCACTTCTCCTGCCAGAGCTTAGGACCCCAGCCCGCAGAGATCAGCCAGAGGTGCCATATCCCATGCTGGAGTGCATGGGCTCAAGGCGGGTGATGGTGACCCTCAGCTCAGCTCCGGAGGGCACCCAAAACATGGCCTCCGGACTGAAGGCAGCACCTCGACCATCAACCTTCGGTCCCCTCCCTGGCACTTGCATACCTGTAGTAAGACAGGAGGCCATTGCTGAGCACGAACCAGCGGCGCTGGTACCCCTTCAGGTAGTTGGTCCATTTGAGGAGCCAGCCCTTGAAACTGTCCAGAGGCAAGAGGACCGCCCGGGCAGGGGAGGTCATAGCAGCGCCTGAAAATGCGGGCCCCGACGGCGATGCCCTGTTCTGTCCTGGCCGAGGCACAGACCCGGACCTGGGAGCCTGCAGAGGCCCCAACGGGGGGTTGGTCAAGGGCAAGTTTTCCAGCTGCTCCAAGGCGGTCTTGGTGAAGGGCCCTGCCCCTGCGCCTGGGGGCCTGGACCCTGACCCTGACCCCAGCCCCAGCAGCAGGGCCGGTTCCTGCCCGGGCTCTGGTTCCGCCACCGGTTCAGACGCAAACTCGGATCTTAGCACGAGCTCGTAAACTGGCTCCAACACCTGTTCGGACACCGGCTCCGGCTCGGACACTGCCTGGGGCTGGGGCTGGGGCTTCGGCTCCGGCCGGGCGCCGGGCGCCGAGGCGCTCATGTTCGGCGGCGCCGTGTGGCAGG